CGGCGGCGGCGGTGGGACGAAGTGGCGCGAGGGTGAGTGGGTAGTTGCCTGTCGTGGGGCACAACGCCGACGAGAACGCGCAGCCGGTGGATCAATACACCCCTCCGCGGTGTTCTTCTCGACGTGTGCGGCTCGCACCACCGCACGGCTCTCGGCGCCGCTCGCTCGGTCATGTCGGCTTCGCTTCGGTCTCTCGCGATCTCCCTCCTCCCAGGAAGCCGTGATCGGTCTTGCCGAGAAAAACGTCTTACGACGTTTCTTCTCTCTTCATGCTCTCCTCGTCTACTTTCCTTCGTCGTTGAAGCTCTCTTCAACGGAACGTCACGATTATCAAACCCTTCCCTTTATTTTTTTCCACGCTTTTCGCCCTTACCGCTATCTTACTTCGTTCGCTCTCACATCGAGATGGTACGTCTCATTTCCAAGGGAGACGTTTATTGCTGTCGATATTGGAAAATTCTCCAGACGATTTTTTACCGGAGGATAAAAAGTTTGCGGGTTAAAGAAGGATGTCTAGAGCGCGATATATCGTTCGCGTTTTCCCTGCGATTTACCGCATCAAGAAAGGACGGCCTTTTCCTCTTCAATGTTCGAAATGTCGTCTCTTGAAATCAGAATTTTTCCAATAAGGCGATACCTTCGGATTGTCTCCCATTTAGTCCAAAGAGAAAATCGATCAATGGGATATCCGCCCTCCGTACGCACGCACGCATCGACTCCACGGAGGCAGAGGATACTTTGACAAGACAGATGGCATAAAGCTGTGAGGAAGAAAAGCTCCGCAAGTCGTAATTAGATTACCGTTTCATCAATCGTTTTCATCAATAAATGTGATCAGTGTCAAGTCATTAAATTTTATTAATTTTCTAATTATTTCGAAACAATGCTTATCCGTTTGTGTTCGTGTCTTCGCACGTTACTGTTTGCGCGAATTTAAAATTGTGTGCAAAATAATTCCGCGCGTTGCAGATTCAATTTTCTCGTCGTGATGCGTCGTACGTTTTGCGGTTATCGAGCTATCGCCGCGAAATCGAAATATCACCATGTAAACTGAGATTTTTTTAAAAATCGTTTGATGTGGTTCGAGTGAACGATTACACAATCGGCCAGCGTGACGCGGCTTATCGATCATTTAATTGAACCATATTGTCTCATCGAAAAAAAGGTACTCATCGGTAGATGTATGATTTTCGCAGCGATATAAATAGCGATTCATAATCATTCGATGGTGCGCGATCATAAACGTGCATTATAAAAATTCATGAATGTCCATAACGCAACAAGCCAAGCAACCTCTTTTCCCGATGACCTCGATCGTCTTACGTTACGACGGCGAGGACGGGACGTGAGGTGAAAAAGTGAGTGAAAGAAAAAGAAAAAATGAAGGAAAAAGGGAAACAAAAGAGAGAAGGGTAGCGAAAGGGAGAGGAAGAGAAGTAATGATAGAAAGAGAAGGGACGAGAGAAAGAAAGAGAGAGACAGGAGGGAGAGAGTTGGATGGCTGATGGGTGGCGAGACCAGTGTAGTGAGATCGTATGTACTTTCAGTATTTTCAGTATCGCTAGACATCCCTAGTACCAAGCAGCAGTCTCCGCGTCCGCCCCCAGCAACGTCGAGGGGTCGTACTCAGTCCCCCTCTCGCGCCGGTGCTACTCTTCCGCGCCCTATGTATCCCTCCCTGTCACGTATATCCACAAAGGCACACACACACACACACATGCAGGCGCGCAAACGCTTTCTCTCCCTCCCGCGCATGCGTGCGTATATACACGAGACCGGAGGATCATATCGAAGACGAAGAGGGTGAGTTTTCCTCGCGGTGGGAGAGGCTCAGGGACGGTAGAAGAGCCCCAGTCCTAGTGGGGAGGAGACGGGTGGATGGTTGGGGAGAGGGTGCGGAGGCGCCGCCGCCGCCACCGAGCGACGCAGTGCCGTCGGGACGCTCGACCGAATGATACGGCCTTCGCAAAGGGGTATTTTTCGCCGGCCGCCATATCTCGTTCGGCAATCCGTTCGACTGCCGTACCGAGAAGCAGTCGGGAAGAGAAAGAGAAAAAGACAAAGAGAGAGAGAGAGAGAGAGAGAGAGAGAGAGAGAGAGAGAGAGAGAGAGAGAGAGAGGGAACACCAAGAAGAGCAGTACTAACTCCGAGAAAGGGGAAGGAAGACATCGGAGAGAAATCAGCCCACCGGCCGGGGATATTGTCCTGTCACAGCAGTACGCCTTTAAAGAGTTACTGGTGTGATGGGACATTGTCCTCGTCCTTGTGGTCCACTTCCAACCACGTCATCATCATCATCATCACCAAGACTTGTCGGGACATACAGGATGTGGAAAGTGTGAAATCGATTAAAAGTCGAATTGGTGTTGCGCGCTCTCGCTAGACGGTTTCCGCGATCAAGGGGAACGCGGTAGAGGGTGAAAAAGTGGGGACGGTACGAACGAAGAATTTTATGAATGTTTGCATGATGACGGTGGACCTCTATGAACGAAAACAAAGAGGAAACGCCCGAACGCGCGACTGTTGTGTTACGTATTGACCATCGGGTTTTTTTAACTCTCGTAAACTATTAAACATTGTCCTCGATATTCCTCGAGCGTGGATACACCATGGTACAGCGATGGTATTTCCAGTCGATAAGGCAGCTACCGAGAGGCGCGGCTGCTTGCCACACTGGTCGATTCAAAGAGCCGTTCTCGCCCGTTCCTCAACCGTCAACAGTTCTTTTTCTGCCCCTTTGTTGAAATGCGGAAATGCAGAATTACTTTTAAAGATAGTGAAAATCGTTTTAATCGGTTTGTTGAGCAAGAAAAACTGTTTGAATCGCCAAGGATCATGAAGTCACGACAAATGACAGAGGCATTCCGTTATCGGGACGCATCTACGTTGTGCCTACAGTCCGCAAAATGGCCGGAGCGCGTCCGTGGATATTCCTGCGCGTTATCGTCGCGCAGTGACCTCTCGTTGAGAAATAACATCGCGTGTTGCTTGTATTAATCCGGAAAACGCGGATCTACTGCGGGCCGGTCGCCGCCCGGATGAGCTCCGGAAATTCTCTCGTTCGTCATCGATCGCGCGAACACGACGGGTAATCCAAAGTCGGG